AAGAAACAGTAGAGCTGTGTACATTTAAAAATGATTCAACAGAAGTGCTTTGGATGTTTGGTCAAGCACAACACAAAAGCTCTTAAAGCAGATGAAGACTTCCACAGAAGCTTGAAAAAAGGAGCTGTTTTAATGAGTATCAAAAAATAAAAAATGCTGAGCTGCTGTGAAGGTGAAACATTTCTTCCTAACCATTTTTGAAGCATGTTCAATCCTTGCCAGTAACTGCTGCTTCTTGAATTGATTCCAAGCAATTAAAGTTCTTATGGGGAATGGAATGCCGTGTTATTGTCACACGGCAGTGAAACCTTGCTAGATGAAGAAACAAAATGAGGGCAATACTTTTTACTCAGATTCTGGAAAAACATTTTATCCTATTCCACTGTTCCTATTTTAAACAATTGCAAAATGATTACATGAGATAAAATGTGTATATGTGGATGTGGTATTGTATTCCCCCCCCCCTTCAGAATGTATCCTTTTCTTTGGGAAGCAAAAGAATTAGAGAGAACAAAGAAAAACTTGTTGATGAATTGGCAAAGATCTTATCATCTTATAGGAAGTAATGCTTACAAAATTCTAGGACAGAAGCATTAATTTTAAAACTTTAAGGCCAATAAAAAGAAGGAATAAGTGCACAAATAAAAGTCCATCCATTTGATTTAGAGCAGCAATATTCAGAGCACGGTCTAGTAATAACTGTGGATCCTGTATACTCACAAGATTTAATATAAACTTGTTTCCAACCTATCCTTCATTAGTACCTACACAAAATAATGCACAATGTGGCAGTGGGGAGGTTAAATGCCTTGTGCACAGACACTATATCCCTAAACAGTGGTTCTAATTATGGGATACCAATTATAGGGGTCAAAAAAAAAAAAAAAGCAGCATACTGTGCCAAAAAGTGGTACTGGATTGTGCCCATATTGTCTCGTACAATGTGGGCAACAAATAATTATAAATAGAGCAATAAATTTTATCTACATTCTAAATATTAAGACCATAACAATATTTAATTACTTTCACAGCTTATAAATCCTCTCTGACATGTTTGCTTCCATATTCTAAATCTTGTACATTTGGAGCCAACCAGGTGAAATAAATCTTTACTGGATCAACATTCCAGTGTTTATGAAATGATATTGGAACTTGATGGGATAGAAAGTCCTTCGGGTAATCCATTGGGCGAGCCTAGAATTGAAGTAAGAGAGAGGATGAGTTGCATACTTATAAAATATTGTCTTCAATTATAAAAAAGAAGCAACGATTATGTATTCTTAAATCAGATACAGCCCCATGAAGTGGATGACATGATAAGCACAGCAGGAATGTACGGTGTCTTCGCGGAAAATCAGTTCATGCTGATCTTTGCAAAGGTAGGTCTTTTTGACAAGATGAATCTAATATGGCAGTGAGACAGGGTTATTATTATTCCAATGAAACTTTGCATGTACAATTTGAATGGCTGCAAATAGCTAATGTAACTGCCGTGTATATGATAAACAAAGCTGTATTTATTCTTTTTAGGAGAAGCATTACTAAATCCCATTATCTGATAACCAATGGATAAAGCAAATTGTTCTACTGTCAACAAAAGATTACACTCAGAAAGAAAATAGAAAAAGCTAAGCATATTTTTTCCAGTAAGTTAAAAATATTGTGTTATTTCAGAGAAAGGTAGTTTAGATCTGAGAAAGTAAGATAATGAAGGGAAGAGCATAGCTTCTGGTCTTTGAAGCAATATAAATTTAAAAATGAGCATTTTATTAGTCCTCCTTATAAAAGTATGGATTTAAATTATGCACTTAAGAATAATATTATCTTCTTGTTTAGATGATGTAAAGGGATATAAAATGCTATTTTTCCTCCACATTCTACAATCTGTCTGCCATGAAAACTGTGGTACTGGATAGTCCATAAGATACATTGTACTTCATACCAAATAATTATCTTGAGATCTTGGGAATATGGAAAGTCTATTAATTTTACATCTTGGAGCGAAGGGAAGGACGCGACAAGAAGTATAAGGAAAGTGACTTTTATTCAGCTCATAGCGGA